TAGAAGTAAAATAAAAAAGTACTCTTAGCAGGCACTGTCATACAGCTTCACTTGTATTAACATCATTTCTTGTCATGCAAATGGATAGGAATGAAAGGAATGCCAATGATCACTCTTATTTAAACCTCAGACTCTGTCCAGCCTGGTAGCCAGTTTAGATAAATTATATAATTTTGTTAATCTATAAAACACACTAGGAAAGGGTATTATTAAAATGTAAACACGGTTTACTTGTGTTTTATTCAATCACTTAGCTTCAATCTAAGAATTTAGATCATGATAATAATGAATACGTCTAAAAGACTATTTTATTAACAAGTTTTTTTTTTCTCTGTTGTTTCTAAATCTCTGTGTTAAAGAAACACACGTTTATTTTTGCACTTAACTGTGGTGCTTATTTAATTGCCCCTAAAAACATGCAAAAATCCCTTACTGTCTTTTTAAGAGATACTATTTTGGGCTTTGAATACATTTAACTGCATAAAGTGAACAGAAACACAATACTACAACTAAAAAGGAAAGAAAATAAACATAAAATTGGCAAACTCAGTACCTTACCATAGCGAGGAACTGTTTTCCTGGAATTTGGGTCAGCCTTTTATTTCTGGTGAAAGGAAATTTTATTGCTTCACTTTATCAAAATATTAGGGCAATCGTTCTGCTGGCTATCTGGAAAATTCAGAGGTGGCTGCTTTCTGTTGAAACAGGAACTGTGATATAAAATATGTGCATTAAATAAATCTGAACGTGGTTTCGCCTACCATCATTGCCTGTCCTTTTAAATAGGCTTCTAAAAGGATGCTCATAAATTCAGGTTGACACTCAAATCTTATGGAAAACCGTAACTAAAAGACTTGAAGCTGCAATAGGCGGAAACAATTTCACTCAATTTCATATTCGTGTGGTTAATCCTATTAACTTAATGTATTTGTATTGATCCTATATATAAAAATCATCCTCGGCAGATATATTGGCCGAGAATTCATTTTGTTTTACCTATATTTTATAACAAAGATTAGGGCTGAAACAATCAGATTAATCGTGATTAATCAATTATTTAAATAATCGTCAACTCATTTAGTAATCGATTAATCGTTAACTAGAGAATGGAGACAGTAAAATTTTCCATTAGCTGACAGAGCGACCCACTTAGAACAGTAATTGTATAAAAAGGAATAAACATTTTTTACATTTAAGATTTTAAAAAAATGTTTTGGTCTGTCAATATGCTCTGTCCTAAACTCCTCAATTTGAAAAGTTTTGTTTTAATTTCGTAAAGATTCTTCTTTAAGGAACCTTTGGCTATCCGATTATTAATCGATCAATGAAAAAATTAGTAACAGATCAACCGATTTGCAAAATAATTGGTTTAATTACAGCCCTAATTTTATTTAGCTTTTATTAGAAACTAAAAATTAAGTGTGGAAGAGCTTCTAATATATTTCAGACATATATTTATTTTATTCTAAACATAGCATACTTCATATGATTTTGTTAGGATTTTGTTATTTTACTATCCTTTTACACCCTTTGCTCTTAGTCTCAGTTACGGATTTTTGTAATATTATAATAAGCTAACTTTAGATATACCTCCTGTGATTAATTTTTTGTCAATGTGCATTTTAGTCCCATGGGGGGAAAATATTTTTCAGGATTTAGGCGCACTTATACATAAAATTGATAAATAATTATGGATTGTGAAACATGTTCTAAATATAAAAGGCTTTATTCCGCCTGAAAGGTGACTTTCTCACTCTGAGCTGATTTTAATTTGCCTTTGTTCTTTTGTACATGATTGTAAAGCATGAGCGTAAAATAAATGCCATTAGTATTAGTAACTCTAAAGCTGAGGATATCATCTAGGTTCATTTGGAACACAGTTTGTGTTAATGTTTGAAAACCATCCTGCCCATAAAGAAAAGGCTAATTATAAACAGAGCAAGAAAAGACCTTGTAGTAACTTGATTTACATTTTTCATCTACAAAGATAGAATAATTCATATCTGCATTAGAGAAAAGGGGAAAGATGTTACGCTTAATCTATTAAATAATTTCCATGGACCCTCCTTTGTTACAAGTGCCCCTGAATCAAATACTTATTGCTGTAGCATTATCTTATTTAAAATATCTGCTTTAGAATTTTAAACTATTTTTATATGGCCGAATTTGGGCTAGAAGCTTGCTTCCTGTCGTATTTTTATACTCCAAGCATTCATCTGCCTTACTTGAGGAATATATTCTCTTGTTTTTATAACTATGAGGAGTTGGTAATACATTTATACCTAAAGGAAGCTCAATGTTTAATTGCTAATCAAACATTCTTTAACTCTCTAATCAACTTTAACAAGTAGCCTACTGTAAAGCATGCATTAAATACATCTGTTTATGTTTATATTCTATGATGTGTTCATGGAACCGATCATTATTTTAGAGTATGTTTGATAAAGATTATTTCCCCACAAATTAAATTTGCTAAAAAAATTAAAAAAAATCAAAGTCTTGCTGCTGCAAAAACAGGTGACTTAACTTCAGCACTATAACTTTCAGAGGATAAATATAAAGGTTACCTGCACAGATCCAGATAGACTTGAGCCTGTCACACCTTAAGGATTTATCCAGCATATGCCTGACGTCCTAGAATCTTCTAAAACGATGGCATACGCCAAACTTTTTATTTATTTTTCAATTTTCTGCGTATATATAGCGAGTCCAGAACTTATATCCAACGGCAGCCTAACTTGTGCGTAACGCACCGCAATGTAATGCCCATGATACAATACCAGTCATTGTCCCGAGGGGGGCAACAATGCCCCCGGTGGTGCCCGGCCTGCATCAAAAGCACAAGAGAAAGATTCCACTAAACGGCATTATAATGCAGCTCTAAGTAAGAAACTTGTTCAGCAGTGGTCTGGAACACGTCAGATACATTATGCATTGGAGATCAGTTCTTAATAAGTTACGCATAAGTTATGCACATGTTACTCATAGGTTTTGGCTAAGCCAGACTCCACGGCTTATGTGTAACTTACAATTAACGTGTGTCAATGATCGTATAGCTTACCTGTAACTTAATGGTCCACGTATCAGCATACGCTGGCATGCTCAAAATTTCTCTATGTACTTGCCGTATGTCGTCATATGCCAGCATGTTTCAGTGTGCTCATAACTCATACAAATCATACCCATAACTTATCCAACAACTGCCAGCGTTTTGGCCAGATTTTTCGTACGTCAGGCACGAAGGCATATCGTCAAGGTGTGACAGGGGCTTTAGTGAGGTTAGGTAGAAACTGTTTTTATTTTAACAGAAAAGAAACAAAACTGGAGAACAAAATAAAGTTGAGTAATATAGCAAAAACCCATTAAAAATAGCTTTAATAAGCCATAAAAGCTGGAGTTTAAGCATTTTCTTTTCAATATTTATATACAAGAAAAACTGTCTCTTTGTTTGAAGCCTTGTATTGTTTCCTACACACTTATGGGCCAAAATGGCACTTTTCAGTCAGCAAATAAGTATAGTTCACCAACAACATTGCTGAAGGTATTGACCCACGTTACTACCAAGCAGCTTACTCTGAAGAATTAAACTGACAACATTACCGTCATTGTGTCCTAAAGCTACTGGTTGAAGCTTAGCTATTACTGTATCTACCTCAATTACCACTTTGCAAGCAAATGTTGGAGCTTCTCTATATAAAACTATTAGAGGTGTTTACTGTTGGGATATTTGCTCAAATTTGTTGATTGAATTTTTTTTTTGTTCTTTTGAGTTTTATTTGTGACAGAACAGACGTCTTCAGCAGTTCTTCAAGCTCTGCAGACCTTAGAAATAAGCTGTTTTTTTTTAATGTGATGTTTTTGAACAGTGTTGCTTTTAAAACTTGTAGGACAGTGACCTTTGAGGACTGGAGCTAGAAAACTTCTGGTTTATTTCAAACAGTAAGCATGTCTGTATAAATGATCCACCCCTGACTTTAAAGCAATGGAGAGTTAAATTGAATAGTTAGGAATCACTGTTCACTGCTACATCCATCTCATCTAAATGGCTGCTAAGTGTGTAAAGTTTGTAGAGACAAATTGCAGCAAAAGCTGGTGCTATATATAAAGGGATCATTTGGAGGGAACTGGCAACAAATGCAGGCCACACTTTTTAGTTTCATATTTGCAAAACATTTTGAAGACTGCAGATTTTTGTTCGTCCATTTTACAGTTGGTCGCTACTTTATGCTGTGCGAAAACGGCTGCGAAAACTTTTCCACGGAACGGTATTTAGGCTTCTCCTTCCTCTTCTTCTCGTCAGCTTAGGAAATACACTATAAATGCCTCTGAGGAGGATTTCCCTGGCTCTTCAAGTCTGTTATTACTGAAACGTTCCCATTATCGTCCTGTAGAAGCAGACAGCGAAGGCTTCTAGTCTTGTAACTTCATTACTCAGAAATGAACTCAACCAAAGACCGGATCTCTTAGGGGAACAAAGTTAGCCGCCTTACTAAACAGGAGGATTCTTAGAGGAAGCGGAGCCTCTTATCAGGAGTCATTTTTCCAAGAGGAGAACTATAATTGTGTGTGGATGCGAGCACTGGTGCTTGTCAAGGCCTTATTGTGGTGAAATCAGCGAGTGTTGTTTCTCCTCGCTTCTTTACCCACATCCCCCAGGCTTTGGCTCTTGTTCTTCCCCAGAGGCTTTCTATTTTCACAACAGTGAAGCTGTGGGCTGGAGATAAGTTCCTTGACAGCCTGAACAACGGAGAGCCAGAGAAAGTGTCAGAGTCTTGTGTAGCAACAGCTTATGTTCTATGCGGCCAGGTTAATGAGGTATAATGTGAGTAATGGAGAGTAAAAGGGGCTTGAGGCTTTTTAGCAGAGGAGCGATGCAAACTGGGAATTGGCTAAATAAGGAAGCTAAATCTAGGCTTAAATTGTAATTTTTTATGATAACCAGTGAAGGTATATTTTTTTATCTTATTAACAGGAGTGTTTCTTTCTTCTTTTGCTTGTAGGTACAAGCAGATTATACCTAAACTTGATCCTCCTCCACCCTCTGCACACCGTAAGAGATCCAGTAGGACATTCTCTCCTGGGTCAGAGATGGCAGCTGTGCCCACCACTGCAGCCCCGAGCAACAGCAGCAGCTTCTCCTTTCCAGACATCACCCCCAGCTCCCTGTCGCCTGCTGATTTCCACTCCCTCAGCAACGGTGACAGCAGCTCCTCCTCGTCTTCGGCGAGCGAGGACTCGGGCGTCCGCTCAGAGACCAAGTCCCTCTTGTCTCCCCTTCGCGATGACTGTGACCTATTCGCCGACCGCGGGACGTTTCTGACAGCGTCCAGTGGCTGTGGAAGTCCCCTGGAGGAGCAGGGGGAAGCAGTTGCCTCGTCCTCTGAGTCGTCGACAGAAACAAACACCATGGCCTCGCGCTCTGACAGCTACGATCAGCCGCTGTGCATCTCCTCTCCCATGAATGACACCTGCCTTCACATCAGCTTTTCTGAGGATGAGCTCCCTGAGAGCAGTCAGGAGGACACCAGTATGGCCCAGCGGAGTTAGGACGACTTTATCCGGTTCTTTAATCAACATATAAGATGCAGGGCTTGCTTTCAGACACTACTATGTGTGCACTGGGTGTCCATTTCAGGTCCTTAAGTCTTTTATTTCACCTGTAACACAGCCTATGTGTTGATAAAATGCCTGTTGTTGTATCAGTAATTAGCCAATGAATAGATTTAGTATTTTTGTATTAGAGTGCTGATCTAATTTACTTTTTAGGGGCCTAGAATGTTAAGCAGAGTACATGTAGCAATATGTTGCACTGTTCAAGTCGTACTGAATTCACTGTATAAATTTAAAACTAACAAATGAAACACATTTATTTTTGCTAGCTGTAAACATCAAGCTGTTATTTTGTATGATGGTTCACTTCGGTGCAAACAACTGCGGAAGAATAATGTTTTTAAAAGTTCACAAAGAAATAAGAGACAAGAGCATAGAGATGGAAGAGATGTTGGGGAAAGCTTCAGCTCCTGAAAAAGCACCTGATGGGATGATGGATGGGAAGAAAGGTACAAGGAAGTCAGTGAAATTGAAGAGGAGAGATAGAAGTCAGTTATTTGTTCTTGAGAAATGGGTTAATTAGGTTTGCATTTTTTATTTTCTGTCAGAAGTAAGTGGGATTTGTGAATGTCGAGTCTAGGCAAGGGCTGGTACGAAACTCCCGTTAGCCTTACGAAGTATCTATACCATATGTAGCAATACGTCTTTAAAAAAACTCTAAATTTTACTTTTTTGTTGACACTAAAAGCAATAATATCATAAACAATGTGTTTCATTAACTCTTTTAAAGAATCTAAAAAACCTGCAAAATTGACATTGTATTTTGCAGGCTAACAAACCCAAAATGACTCCCCATTCCTGAGGGGCGGAGCTGTTCTTCTCGTTCAATTTGCATGTTTTCTAAGGCAAAAAAAGTTTCTGGGCTACTATATTAAGCTTTGAACTAATTCTGACATTCTAAATTGAAAAAGCTTCCTGGATGGGAAGCAAAACGTCTTCAAACTTGGAAACCAAGTCCAGTGGATTTTTTATAACTTTTTACAAGACATTGCTAAGGGTAAGCTAATCACTGTATCACCATATGAACAGCCCTACCCCCCTCAGAGCTTCCTTATAGATCTCAGTACCTGCAGGAGCTGCTGTTCAGCCAACCTGAGGGACCAAGGAGGTGAATGTTGAGGAACAAATTCCAAGTTCTAAGGAGGGGAAAGGATGTACTGCATCCTTTTGATGTAATAAAAACATGAATTACTCTTTAAAAGAGGTTTCTGGACAGAAAAAATGCTACTTTTGCTGCCATCATAAGAGACAATGGTGTTCCAGTGTGACTATCAAATGTAAAATCAAATGTTGGAACAGCTTCCTTTAATATTTAAACAAGAAGAGTCAAACAGTGTATAGAGCTGAAAACTTCATATCTCAAGTTAATTTAAATAGCTTATAATTTTCACCTGTTGCAAAATTAGCTAAACTTCAAGGTCCATTCAAAGCTATATTAAATATAGTTGAGTACGGAAACATTGCACTTCTATAAAACCAGGATATAATTTCTTCCCGTATCGATCAAGATTCATGACTCTTAATCATTCTTATTTGGATTTCAGTCTAATTGATATTTTATTTTGTTGTTTTTATTCTCACTGCAAAAAAAAATGAAATCAAAGTATGTTTTTTTTTTAAATAAGAAAATTTTTCTTGAATTAAGCAGGTAAGAGAGACAGTTTGCCAATGGGATTAGACACTTTACATTTAAAATAAGAGAAAAAAAGCTCTTATTTCAAGTGCATAATATGGAATCATATTATAGCATTGCTTGATAAGAAGGATTACTGGTGGAGTGTTAGCTGCCTCAGCATGAATGTCCACGTTTCTCAGAAAAAAACGCGTTTGGTTTTGTGTTGTGTTCTTTGAGCCAGGTTAAAAATACAGTGTTTGTTGTTGTGTTGAGCCGTACTTTGGTATGGAGAAAAAAAAACTGAATATGGGCAAATTCCTGTTTACTATGAAAATATAATTCCTTTTATTGTAGCAGTAGAATGAGTTTGAGATTTGTTAAAAAAAAAAAAAAAAAGAAAAAAAAATCTAAGAATTAGTGGATTAAATAAACTGGGAAAAAGAAATAACCAAACAAAACCTTTTTTTTTACAAAGCTCTAATTACCTGTCTTAATAAACCCGTCTTAAATAACCCGATTTAATTAAGCTGTAAAATTAGTTAAAAATAAATAAAATCTCTTCAGGTTTTATCGTTATGTTTTGAGGTCAGGGGATTTCAAATGAGAAAGAATTGAAAATATATATAATTATCAGATCTTTGCTGCTTTACTGTATTTTTATGATAGAAGTTAAAGCATGCTTTTTTTCACTGAGTTGATGCAGGGGGAAGAGGCAGAGACAGGAGGTAAACGAGCTGAGGTGTGAAGGAGGTAATGGCTGCAGATGTAAAATGCTGTTGAATTCATTTTACTCCAGAAATTGAGGCTTTTCCCAATGTCACTTTCAGCAAGGAGTTTTATATCACTAACATGGCCTGAAAACAAAACAATAAAGAGATGTAGCTGAAAACTATGGCGCTTTACTCTTTTTTTCATGCATTCATTCTCAGGGAACTTTAAGGTTGGGCTGGACTTTACATTACCCTGCTAGCAGGATGACAGGTTAATATTTTGTGCAAGACGCCTACGTTCACTGTGCTGCTGAAATTACCTGTCTGTGCGCATACTTCATTCTGCAAGTCAGCTTTGTTGACAGTCCTCTTTATAATTTCCTGTAACCTCAGCGCATTGCATACACGAATGGAGCTGAAAGCATCAAAGCGTTTGCATGTAGTAAAGTTTCACAAAAAGCAGCTGAAGTAACAAAATAAAAAATGCTGTTTACCTTTAATCTCTGAAGGGAAATCTTTGTTTCAGTTTTTCTGACAGAATGTGTGCAAGATCTTGTTTTATTATTTCCAAGCCATTAAAAATTCAGACAGAGGCTTTTCTCATGGTTATTTCCAGACCCATTTGGACTATAGAACCTTTTCCAGAAGTGCTTTTTTTGGAAGCTGAGCTGTTCCCCCTGCCTTCTAATAGCCTGACAACATGCATTTGCAGCACATTCTTGCATGCATTAATATGAAACTGAATGGCCTTGTGCCCTCGGGGCGTCAGTGTGATGCACTCATTTGAAATGAGGCACATAGGAAATCCCTTAATCGAAAGGTTTAAAAGCTGTAATTTCTCCCTTATGAACTAGAAGCAGTAGAAAAATAAATACCAACTCTAAGATGACAAAAAATGGTGAATGTTAAAAACAAAAAACATGGATCAATGCTGACATTTTCCTCTCTTCATTACACAATTTGTAAATTAAGTATCTAACTTTTTGCTTTATTATTGACACTTAAATGTCTCATATCATCCAACAAACGACAGACCAAAAAAACAAAATAAATCTAAAAGACAACTTAATTTTGTAAGGTTAAAGAACATAGCCAGACAAAAGCAGCAAGAGCCTTCCAGTGGAGAGCAAGGTAAGATTGTTTTTTTAGTATAATTATGTAACATAACAATTCCAAGTGCCTGACATGTAAAATAATACATTAATAAATACACCCATTTTCTCTTTTGTTGTAATTTATGAAATTGAGCGACAGTAGAAGGTTTTCGAACATGATGTTTTTCCAAAAACTTTTGTTTATTATTTTATTGAATGCTTCATTTATTTATTGACAGCAATTCAAAGGTTGACCTGCTGTTGTTCTGAAATTAGGATTTCAGTCTAATAGGTCATTAATATTTTATTTTGCAGTTTTTTTTCTCACTGCAAAAAAAATGAAATCAAAGTAAGTCATTTTTTTTAATAAGTACATTTTTTCTTGAATTAAGCAGGTAAGAGAGACGCTTTGCCAATAGGATTAGACAATCTACATTTAAAATAAAATAAAAAAAAACTTATTATTTTAAGTGCATAATATGGAATCATATAAGATTGTTTTTTTAGTATAATTATGTAACATAATAATTCATACAGTACTAAATACTGTACACATGTGTTTTCTCTTTTGTTGTAATTTATGAAATTGAGCAACAGTAGAAGGTTTTCGAGCATGATGTTTTTCCAAAAACTTTTGTTTATTATTTTATTGAATGCTTCATTTATTTATTGACAGCAATTCAGAGGTTGACCTGCTGTTGTTCTTCAGAATGAGTTAAAAAATGTATTAAGGTGTTTTCTAATAATACTTTGGCCACCATTGGCCAAAGTACAGAACGGCCTCCTGCTCATTCTCATAGGACATACTCATACTCAACAAGGTTGTTTTTTGTTTGTTTTTTTCAAGGGCAACTCCTTAAGTGAAGTTGCCATTGATGATTGCCATTGGTAATTTTGTGGATACTTCTGAGTATCCACAAAATCCATCTTGAATATAACACATTTACTGAGGCGTCAGTCTGCTCATCAAACTATGTTTTAGGCATAAAGGCTCAAATACATATGCCGTTTTAAAGATATATTTCTGTAAAACTTGCATAACGTCTCTTTAAAAAAAAACGAAAGCCAGACTCTTTCCTTCAGGATTTAACCACTTTCTTTTTAGTCGGCAGAATGTTTTGTTTTATTTTAAAAATCAAGATGTTACTGTTACATATAAGATTGGTCAAATTGTATTAACTTTCTATATATATATATACATATATATATATATATAGCACCAATTCATAACATGTTATCTCAAGGCAGAGACATTTCTGTCAGATCATAGTCTGATTGGTTCTATCTAAAGAAAATCCGCTGTTTGCATTGAATCATTGTTTTGACCGCAGTCCCTCACACCAAGCATGCATGCAGCAACAGTGGAGAGAAAAAGTCCCTTTTAACAGAAAGGAAGCTCCAGCAAAATCAGGCTGGAGGTTCATGGACAAAGACTTCCAAACGAACAGAAAAACTTTCTATTTCAGAAGGGATGAAAGATAGCACATACAGTTTGTCACAGTAAAAGCTGATCCCATAGCTATGTTTACCAGAGAAACAGTACTATGCCCTCAAAAATAGGCACAACTCTGTCATCTATAATCTAAGGTATTCTTGGCAGCAGCGCTTTTAATATTTATCTCCAAGATAATGTCACAATCAAACAGGAACTTACCAGATGAAGCTACCATGAAAAAAACATAAAGAGCAAAAAGGGCCATTGTATTCAACGCAAAGCTGTGTGTTTGTCCAAACAGCTATCCCATGGAAGCATTTTTTTTCCTTCCCATTATTGTGAACACTAACCTTTGGTCAGTAATGTGAGGCCTGTGTGGCTCTGTTTTTTTTTTTTTTTTGAGATCTCCTGGACGGGTTGTTGATGTACATCTAGGGAGCGTCCTCACTGTTCCATGTTTTCTTCATTTTTGGATATTAGCTCTCACTGTGGTTC